CGCCAACAACGGCTACATTAACAAAACAAAAATAAAAAAATAAAATAAAGTAAAAATTGCACAACACGCCACGATTGCCAACGCAAAAAGATAATGATTGAATTAAAAATGAATGCCGCGGTTGACAGCGCCGCCAATAGCAAGCAAAACAATATAAGTGTAAAATATAAAAAGTGTAAAAACAATAATAGAAATAGCTTAAACAACAACAGCAACAACGAGTGTTACAGCTGCAGCATAGCAGATAGCAATAGTGCGCTGTTGTGTGTAGCGACAGTAGAACAACGAGTGCAAAACAGCGAACAAATATGGTTAAATACCTTACAGCAACAAAAACAGCAAGCCGATACAACCAACCACAGCGAAAGCAAGGATGCGCACCACCACCAACAATACTACGACCACCATCACCACCGCCTCCAACACTCACAACAACAGCAACAGCAGCAGCAGCATTTACATGACCACCGGCAGCAGCAGCAGCAGCAATGTTTGACAACAGTGCGTTATGCGGAGCATGTGCAACAACAAAACGAACAGCATAAGCAGCCATTTCCGATACACGCGCCTGAACATCGGCAGCAACAATTTAATCAACAACAGCCAAAACCTGAAGGCCGCCAGCAGCAGCAGCAACAACAACAACAACATCGACAACGACTACGTCGATGGCCAACACATTGTTATGCGGATACAATACGCTGTGAAACCAGCAACAATGAGAGTAGCAGTAGTAACAGCGAAATCGACAGCGACCATACCACCGACAGGAGTAAATTTAATCCAATGCAAGCATCGCTGCACTCATTCACTACTTCATCATCGACCACATCCACGTCATCCACCACAACGTCGTCTTCGTATGTTTCATCGTCAACGCGCGGTTGCACGTCGTCATCAACAGTAAATGCGGTGGCGAGTGCGGTGGGGAATTTGCGTGGCTTATATGCATTTACAACTGCCACAACTACCTCGCAAGCTGCAACTCCTACACTATATTTGTGGTGGCTATTTGGTGTGTGTTTAATACTATTCACAAATGGTGGACGTNGACGGCAGCAGCAGTAAATGCGGTGGCGAGTGCGGTGGGGAATTTGCGTGGCTTATATGCATTTACAACTGCCACAACTACCTCGCAAGCTGCAACTCCTACACTATATTTGTGGTGGCTATTTGGTGTGTGTTTAATACTATTCACAAATGGTGGACGTGACTGGCGGTCAACGGCATTGACGCGTACTACATTTATGGTGGCAGCCTCGTATTTGGAACCGGACGAACTGATACACGAACTGGATAGACCAGGTGAGTGGTCATAACACAAAAACGTATACATATATATTTGAATTGCTATGTTAATGATTTAAGTGTGATTAAGAGTGTTATCTATATACAATGTATAATGCATACATAGCCAGAAAATAATTTAGATAGGCCTTCTTAAGTGAAGCCACTCTAAGAAGGATTGAAAAAAGTACTTCCGTGCATGCCTTCCAGAAGGGGGATTATCCATTTACAATTTACGCGAATGCATAAATTTATATTATTTAGCATTTCAAATGAATTTCAATAAAGCATTTAAGTTGCAATAAAACGTATGTGATATATTTAAAACTTAAGCAGCTTCAGAGATGTACCTATAGATTTTTATAAATTTAAAAAAGCCACTTTAAAAGAACTCCTCGAAAAGGGTACGCCCTATAACAGCCCTTCTGGAAGGCCTTCTATTGGTAGCGAAAGAAGGAGCCCTTCAATTTGTGCTACGCCATACAAAGAAGAAGTGTTGTGGAAGGCCTCTTGATTCTCAGGAAGGCCTTTCGGAAGAGCTTTTAACTCCTGAAATTATCTACTGAGTATAAATATGCTAACACAAATTTTATGAGCGTTCGTTTGGCTATTCTCCCAAGAACACTATTCGAAAGGTATTCTTCTGTAAATGAGTAGAGCTTTTCTGTTTAATAAGTGATTAAAAATTCCAATGCCCAAATTCGTCGTTTAAAAATTTCCGTATTTGTGTATAGTTGTTGTTGCAACCTGTTCAATTTGAGTTGTTTTCAAATTTGTTTTACTTCGTATTTGAAATTAAACTTTGTAATAAAGAGAAATGTGGTGATGATGAAGTAATGGATAAAAAAGTGAAGGCGAAATTTGAAGATAAGGACGAAAATGAAAACAATGACAATTACATAGGAGTTAAGGGAATTTATTGATTTTTATTTAAGAATCGAACAAATTCAGTCATAACAAAACTCAGTTATCACGTTATCGAAATTTAACGAGCCATCAAAATTTGTCGTTATCGAAATTTTTCGAGTTAAGCATGTTCATCGAATTATTCAAATTGATCAATGTTTATTTTGTTGTCGAAATTTATAGATAGATACACAGAAACTTCTCAAATAGCACACTGGTTGTATAACTTGGTGTAAATTTGTGAATTTTGGTAAAATTAATCAGATTTATACCAAAGTTCGTAANCTCTAGTTTTACGCGAGTTATTGGATAGTATATCGAACATGGCTTAGTCGACTTCTCACTTCATTCTGAGCATTTTGACTACACGTCCAGCCCCTCTAAAATGGAATTTTTTTTACGCAAAATTATTAAATAACAAATCGATGATTCTCTATATCTTGGTGGTATTACCGACTTACGGTTTCGACCGGTTTCCACCGGAAGTGGGTTTAACAGATCGGAAGCCATGTTTTGTGATTAGACACACAGGGTTTTACTACAGATTCGGACTGTGAGGATAAAAATTCGTAAGCAAATTTTTTTTTTATTCCTTTATTTTTGTGAATGTCTTTGTTTTGTGCGTAGAGCAAAATAAAGGGATGCCCCATGATAACACGAATATGCTCCCAATCCTGGAATTATTGGTCATACACGCGGCTTCACGATTAACAATTAGTAATTTTCATTCAGATTTTCAACTTGTACGCAAATCACTGCACTTTATGCCATTTCTAACGCATCCGAAAATCGATGAAATTCAATAATAACATATCCTATCTAAATACCAAGTCTTAATATTTGCTGTTATGCCATTCTAGAAATCTCTCCCTTTTAATTCGATCTCTTTGGGAATCTATTCATTATATTGCAAACTGATTCTGTCTATGTATGACACTTGTGGTCAGCAGGTAAATTTAAGTAACATTTTGACTAGTTTTGGCTATTTTCCTTTTGTTTACACAAAACAATCACACATTTCAAACTTCCTACAAGAGTTTAGAAAAATCAACAAACTTTAACAATTACACCCACAAATTTTGAACTTCGTATGCAGAATTTTTGGAAAAATTTTAGGTATTTAAAGTGCAAATTTCAAGGCGCTAGAAAATGGCGTTGATTTTTAATGATTTTTTTGAAGTAAAACTTCTTTAGCGGCGGTTGGTTGGTTGGGAGTAAATTGGCAAATTCAGCGGAAATTGCACACGGAAATGGTGCAACGGAAATGCCGGAAAATTTACGGAAATTGGTGGTAATAGCCCAGTTTCACGTTTGAACCGATGTATTTATTGGTAAAGAAATGAACACACGAAAGGTTGTATTAAAGAATAGAACTCAGATTGGTTTATTTTCTTAATATAAATTAAAATGTACAAAACTATTTTCAGGTTACCTTATATATGTATGTATTTGGATGAGGCGATAAAAATTGGTGGCGTCTTCTCAAATGGAGGTTCGGAAAACAAGTAAGATCCGTTGTTTTCTTTTTGATAACGTTAGCCCATCGAACGGCTTTCTAAGCGAGGGACATTTTAACATAGCTAGCGTTCGACAATAGAAAATAGTTAACTGCTGTCTTGTATACAAATGTTTAATATTAGGGTGGCTCTTAAATTGCGTATTTAATACGCTGGCCTAAACACAGTTTGTATCGAAGAAAATGCACAACATATTCAGCCAAAAAAATTATTAAAAATCAACGGCATAGAGAACTGTCAAATTGTACCTACTAAGTTCTTCTCTTATGTGGCAATCTTTAGGAAGCATCTCTCAATACCATTTATTTTCTTTGGGCAATACTGAAAATTACATACCAGTATGCATGTGCCTGCAAAATAATCTTTCCAATCCTTTTTCTTCCTCAAAACGCACAGTGCGTCAACTTGTCTTTTAAGAAATTTGCACATAAACGGCGCTCAGTGTTTTCATTATTTTCAATACATAGAGAGTTTAGTTAACTAAAAGCATAACCAACCAGTACTTTCTGGCAGCGAAGCATGAGAACTTGTAGATTTTAATTCAATTAGGTATGCAGGTATGAAGGTTTGCTGAAATCGTTTTCCATAATTTTCTACACTTCAAAGACTTTTGTCTAAAGTAAAATCTGTGCAATATTTATGGCTTATAAATGCATATAAATTAATATGTATGTATCTTCGCTAATCGTACTTATGTGCATAAATTCATATACATATACGCAACACTACCTACATTTGTATGTATATACGAGGACTTAATATTAAGAGTAAGCGAAACATATACAGTATGCACACAAACTGAACGCTTATTTGCCTCAGGAGACTGGCTTTAATGAGAAAGCTGGATTACCTCATAAATAAGCAATATTATAAAATAGATATTTCCATGTATTCATACACCTACAGAGGTATATATAGCAAGTGGAAAATTCGAATATATATACATACATACCTACATGTGTATATGGGGCGTTCCATACCAAAACGGACGGGCTTCACACTTCATGTGTTTGATTTGTTGCACATTTATAGGGTTGATGCATAAACCTAAATAAATAATAAATAAATATGAAATTTGAGCTTGATTAATACATTTTTAAAAACTTTACAAAAACAAAAACCAAACGATTTAATATTTTTCCGAATATCTCGAGAACGGGGCAAGGAAAAAATTTGAAAAAAAAATCTCACATACACATATTAAAATTCTCTATTTATATAAATATTTTAAAATTTTTTTTCTTGAAAAATTTTTCACATTAAAATTTTTTGATAAAAAAAATATAAAAAAGTCCCAGTAGTGGCTCTGAAATATTTGAGTATAGTATTATGGGGTGCACTCTACAATAATCTGAGTTATGCATTTTTTTTACACCGAAGTTAAGTAAAATGAGTACATTATAAATTTATAAATCCTTAAAATTTATGTTAGAATTTTTTTTAGTATGCAGTCTCGTAGTCCATTAAATTGTGGTATAATAAGTGCAAGTTTTAAGCGATTGCAAAATATT